AAGGAGCCCGAGAAGCCTGAGCAGCCCACTCCAAGGAAAAGCCCCTATGTTCCCCCTCCCACTGGCCTCTTTGATGATGATGATGATGACGACGACTTTTTCTCGGCACCCCGCAGCAAACCTTCCAACACAGGTACCTGTTCCTGCCTCTGTTTCTGGGACTTCAGCCAGAAAAAGAATGTTGCCTAAAAAGGACTTAAGCTCCCCTAGTTGTGTATCTCTTATAGTACCAGAATCCCTTCTCCAGCATTCCTGTCATTGAGCTATTGTGTCTGTACTTACATAGGTGTGGTGCCTGGGAGGTCTGTTTTGTGAACCAATCTTTTCTGCTCTATAAGCTGATTACTATGATTATTTTCCTTATAGAGAGCGGAAATCCTTTTCCCTGTAATTTTTGCTTAATTTCTAGTTCTGACCTTGGGAATTATAAAGTTTTAATCATACTTTCTTCCAGCCGACTTAGTCAAATACATGAGCAACATGTTGTGTGCTGGCCGTTTAGTTCCCAGCTTCTCTTCTCTCTGCCAAAACGCTCGGGTGGCCTTGGTCTTTCCTCAGATGATGGGGTTTTCATCCCCTTGGCCACTTTGGCGTTCTCCTTTCTTTTCCTCTTAAATGTAAGTCCTGTGTTCCTGAAGTCATTCCTGTAAATCATTTGTTTTTAAATGTGCAGATGAATCTCCCAGAGGCTTTTGTCAAAATGAAGATTCCGATTCAGTACGTCCAGGGTGGGGTCTGAGAATTTACATTTCCAGCAAGCTTCATGGTCTGTAGATCACACTTGGAATAGCAAGACAGATTCGTTGACTGCTTTTCTGGAAAAGAAAGGTAGCTCCCTAAGGTGCACAAGATTTTCAGCAAGTTGAAAAAATAAAAAAGGATGGCATAGGAATAGATGGAACTGAATATATTTAGAAGCAGGCTGTCTGGACTCACTCCCCTTTCAAACGTTAGGTGTAGAAAGTAAGGATGGAAGCCAAAGTGTGAGGGAAAACGATAGCCTAGTTAATCTAGAAAGAGTGCAAACGGATGCAGAATGCACCCAGGTCTCAGTGAAGTTGACAGTGAGTGAAGGTAGTAGTGCTTTTTATAGCTCCCCAGGGCTCTCACTTAGTGGATATCTTTGAGAACTGATTTAGAATCACTAGTAAATTGATGCTGCTTTCTTTGACAACTCCTAGTCTCTTCGAACATTCATGAGTCAGTGGCCTCATTTCAGCAACACATGCCCCATTCGGTATAGCAGTGCTTATGGTGGTGAAGATATTCATCAGTAAGATAAGCTGTGGCCCTTCTATTCAGTGGAATATTGTGTGACTGTTAAAAAGAATGGGGTCTATGCTTATTGACTTGGGAAGGTTTTATAGGTACATTAAGTGGAAAACGCAAATGGTAAGACGCATTGTTCAGAGTATCTTCTTATTTATAGCCTTATTTGTAAATAACTAAAGTTAATTCATTAGTACATCCTTTGGGGGAATTGGAAGCATGTATGCTGAACTGTTCCCAATGTCTGTCTTGTTTGAGTAGACTGGTGGAATTATGAGGGGATTTCATTATTTGCTTTTATCTGCTTTTGTACAGTTTGATTTTTTTTTTTTTTTTGAGATGGAGTCTTGCTCTGTCTCCCAGGGTGGAGTGCTGTGGCGGATCTCAGTTCACTGCAACCTCCGTCTCCTGGGTTCAACCAGTTCTCCTACCTCAGCCTCCTGAGTAGCTGGGATTACAGGTGCCCGCCACCATGCGCAGCTAACTTATGCATTTTTAGTAGAGATGGGATTTCACCACCTTGGTCAGTCTGGTCTCAAACTCCTGACCTCAGGTGATTCGCCCGCCTCGGCCTCCCAAAGTGCTGGGATTACAAGCGTGAGCCACTGTGCCCAGCCCAGTTTGACTTTTTTTAAAGCAGGAGCTGAGCCTTCATTTCTCAGATTCCTTAGATGATTGACTTGGTGGTCTTCTTAAGATTCTTTCTTCCTCTAGATTTCTCTTCACCTTTTAAGTTAGTCCAAGCTTCTCTAACCACAGGAGACTGCTGCTTGGACAAGCATATCAGCCTCATGGTTAAACTGTTTGTTCTGTCTTTCAACTGAGCTGCTAATATGCTCTTTGAAAAATTCCAAGAGAAGAGTATAGTTTCACTTACTATTTCTTTATAAGAAACCAAGAAACAACATAACTTTTATGTTAATCTTCGGGAGAGAAGAATTTTTTAATCTATGAATTTTGTGGTAGAATTTTTTGTGGTAGGATTTTTGGCCTTATTGTAATTTTACGCCTTGGTATTTTTAAAGGCAAAGTTCAATCCGCTGCCAATATCTTTGGTGACGAAGAAGGAGATCTGTTCAAAGAAAAAGCCCAAGCATTGCCAGAAGCCACTGTGAGTCAGACAGATGAAAATAAAGCAAGAGCAGAAAAAAAGGTGAGCAGGAGGGAAGAGTTAACGCAGGAGCATTGATCTGTGGTGTTTTAATAATTTATCTGGAACCCAAAGGGAAGTATTGTTCCCTTTCACGTTCATATTGAAGAACTTCAAACAGAAGGTGGAAAGAATATTGCAGTGAACACCCAAATAACTACCACCCAAACTGATCAGTTCTTAGGGTTTTGGCAAATATTTTCCGGATGTAAACCTTGTTACATATCTATTTTTTTCCTGAACTATTTGCATGCAAGTTGTTTGAACTGTTTGCTGCATGGAACTGTTTGTGTGTAGTCATTGTGACATTCTACCCCCAAATATTTCATTAAGCCTCTCTTGAAAAGACTTCCATATAACCACAGTGCCATGATCAACAGCTGTGAGACTAACAGTAATTCTATAGTAGAATCTAGTATCTAGTCTGTATTAGAATTGCTCCAGTTTGCCCCAAAATGTCTTTGTAAAATCACCCCAACAAACAGAATACAGATTTAAAATTATCTCGCCTATAGTTTATATTGTAATTTCCTCTCTTGTTCCCATAATGCCGTTTACAGCAGCGGTCCCCAACCTTTTTGGCATTAGGGACGTAAGGAGAGTGCAACTTGCAACCTAGATCCCTGGCAGGCAGAGTTCACAATAGGGTTTGCCCTCCTGTGAGAATCTGATGCTGCTGCTGATCTGACAGGGGGAGGAGCTCAGGCAGTAATGCTTGCTGCTCACCTCACCTCCTACTGTGCGGCCGGGCTCCTAACAGGCCATGGACTGGTCTGCAGCCCAGGGTTGGGGACCCCTGCTTTATACTTTTTTGGTGTGTTTTGATTTTTTTTTTTTTTTTAAAGAAACCCAGGATTCAGGCAGTGTGTCTGCATTGCGTTTGGTTGTCCTGTTTCTTTGGTCTCCTTAATCTAGAGCAACACTTCCCACATCTTTTTTTTTTTTTTAATGTCCAGCCACTTGTCTTGTAGAATGTGTCTTGTGAATTTGCTTGATTATCTTCCTCTGAGTAGATTCAGGGTCAGCAGTTTTGGCAAGAGTACAAGCAGACAGGGTGGTGCACTTCCCATTGGATCGTCTCCCAAGACACATCAGGTCCACTGTCTGCCTCATTCAGACACGTTTGTCACTTGGTTGTTAGGGTGCCCACCACACTGCTTCACTGGAAAGGATCCTGTTCTCTTTTGCCATTGATAAGTTGATCTCTAAAGTGATAGTTGAACACAGTGTGAATATCTGTTATCTCCCAGCCTTTCACTCAGTGTTTTAAAAATCCATTGATGATCTTTTCTTGAATCGGTTAACCTGTTAGGGAGCATAAACCACAGCTTTTTAAATTCTATATTTCTTATGGGTTGACATTCTTCTGAATAAAGAGTTTCTTCGTCCTCTCCTTCCCCGACTTTTAGTATTTCTTTGGGATCATGGATTCATTCGTCAATGTAAATGATAATCCATTACTATCATTCTTCTTCTTCTTCTTCCTTTTTTTTTTCTTTTTTGAGACAGGATCTTGCTCTGTTGTCCAGGCTAGAGTGCAGTGGTGCAATCACAGCTCACTGCAACCTCAACCTTTTGGGTTCAAGTGATTCTCCAGCCTCAGCCTACCAAGCAGCTCGGACTGCATGCATGCGCCACCATGCCTGGCTAATTTTTGTATTTTTTGTAGAGACTGGGTTTGACCATGTTGGCCGGACCATCATTCTATTGATGCTCAGATTGACCTGAGTTTGGGCAGTGCGTGTGTCCCCAGCAGTCTTTAAGCCCTTCTGACTGACCTTTCACTGCTGTCCCGCACAGCTGGTCCCTCCTCTTTCTACAGTCTCATCATGTCATGTCCTGGCTGCGAAACCCTGACTTTCTCCTGTCCACCACCTAAGGCCCAGCATTCAGAACCTGGGAGGCCTGTCAGGCAGCCTGCCTTTCCATGCTGTCTCTCATTGCATATGTCCCGTCCATGCACCCATTACCCAGGCAGTGTGTCCTGCCCCCCGATACACCAGATGTGTCCTCTGTTTGTCTTACTGTTCTCTTAACAGACCCCTCGGCTTGGTGCCTATCATAGCAGAGACTCCTTGCATTTTCTAAATGGTTGATTGAGTAAACCCTCTTTTCTGGGTATCTTATTTGTTAATGCTTAATTTTTCTGTTTCTTTTTTTTTCCCCCAACAAAGGTTACCTTACCTTCCAGCAAAAATCTCAAGCCCTCGTCAGAAACAAAGACTCAAAAAGGCTTATTTTCAGATGAGGAGGACTCTGAGGTATGATATTCTTTTCCTTAGTTGTTGGTATTGGTCTATGAATATGACATAGAAACTATTTCTGAATCAGGTTTTTCTCAGTGGAGTTATAAGACTTTTTGTTAAGTACTCCAGTTCTTTCAGAATTTTCTCTAGAGGCCAGAAGCTGTGGTTCATGCCTGTAATCCCAGCACTTTGGGAGGCCAAGGCAGGCAGACACCTGAGGTTAGGAATTTAACAGCAGGTTGGCCAACGTGATGAAACCCTGTCTCTATTAAAAATACAACAATTGGCCTGACATGGTGGTGTGAGCCTGTAATCCTAGTTGCTCAGGAGGCTGAGATAGGAGATTCACTTGAACCCGGGAGGCAGAAGTTGCAATAAACCAACATCACACCATTGCACTCTAGCCTGGGCGACAGAGCGAGACTTCGTCTCAAAATAAATAAATGAATAAAAAATAATCTCTTGAGAGCTTAAGGTCTTTAGAAAGCAATATGTTTACAATAATTTTCACTTTTGGGTTGGACTGTATTTACATTTCCTGTGATGAAAATACTCTCTCTTTAGGATGCTCAGCTTTTAGACTATTAATGGGCTCATGATGTGATGAGGAGCTTGCACCAGAGTGGAGGTCACCGTGCTCCTTCCTTTATTCACATTCTCACTAACTGGACCATGGCTTAGTGCTGTAGCGGAAGGATTCTGGCATAGCCATCTGTCTTGTCGAGACTGAGACCATTAACAGACTGTGGGACCCTGGTTCACAGGTTGCTTCAGTCCCTCCAGGCACCTTAGAACCACCTCTTAGAATTTCACTGCTTTTCCTGAGTCTCTCAGGCCTAGGTCATCTTAGATCTAATTTTAAGTTAGCCTTTTAGGAGATCAGAGACTTGTATGAGAATGTAATGAGAAGTAATAAGCCCCTTTTACAGAAAAATATGTGGACATGGCAGAAACACGTATTTCAAGAAATTGTGGGCTCTAGGTTAGGCTCTCACGGTTGGACTTTGCACTCACAGCAAGGATGAACGTGGAACCCTTTGGAAGTAGAGTGATTGCCCTTGATGTAAAGAATACCTTTGAGGCTATTATTTCACTGAAGGCTAGTGTACAAAACATGGGAATTAACCAGAGTCCAGTTAAGTCACAACCCTGAGCCCTGAGAAACAGCATGATGGGGCCTGCACCATCTTATGCTCATGGATCCCGTGTATCACCCACACCTGCACCTCGGGGTCTTTGCACCTGCCCCTGCCACTCTGAGGAATGCTGTTCCCAGAATCCAGCTTGCTTTCTCACTCTTTCTCTGTGAGGCCTCCCTGATGAAATACACACAACTGGAAGCCTGCTAGCACTTACCACCCTGTACTCCTGGTCCTCTTTCCTGTTTTACTGTTTACCACAGCACGTGTTGCCAGGGACAATGTATATTTACTTATTCATTGTCTGTGCTTCCCACTAAAGTAAGTGCCATGAGGGCAGGACTTTTTATTTCCTGTTTGTATCCTTAACAGCCTGTCCTTAATACCAGTGCTTGGCATGTGATAAGCCATCCAGTAATTGTCGACTAGACAAGAAAACCAAATGTGAGCAATTGCAGTGACTTACAAAGTGTTCTGGTTATTTGTTGCTGTGAAACAACTTAACTCCAAAACTTAGTGGTTTACAACACCCATAGTTTTGTTGTCTCACAGTTCGAGAGGTTGACCGGGCTTAGCTAGGCCATTGTCACTGAGGGTCTCTTGTGTCTGAAGGTGGCTGGGCTGAGGATCAGCTCACTCCTATGTCTGGTACCTGGGCACAGGGGCCCCTGGGACATCTCTCATTAGCTCTTTGTGGCTACCAGCATGTAGTCAGGGAAGCCGGGCCTCATCCATGCTGGCTCAGGGCTGTAGGGGAGATTCGTCAGAGAGAGCCAAATGGAAGCCATGTCGCCTTCTGTGTTCCAGCCTTGGAAGTTAGTGGTGTTCCTTTTGCTTCATTTGTTGATCTAGATGATCACAATGGCCCATCCAGGTTCATGGGGAGGGGCCGTAGGCTCCCCTTCTTGATGGTGGGAGTGTGCATGAACTGTCAGACTTGTGTGAAAACCCTCCCAAAGGCTTTGCCCCTTCTGTGTCATCGTAGAGTGAATGTTTTTATTGGATATTGTTGGGATTCTGAGGCAAGGAGAAGTAAAACTAAGGCAGTCTAAGAGTTAAAGCTTTGGACCCGAAGGAATGCGTCCTGATTCCTTTCTCTATATCTCACGTGTGAGGCTGACACTTTCCCTGTGAAGTCATTCTGGGGGAACATATTTGAGGTAATGGAAGTGTGTTTTTTTGCAGTACCAAGAAAGGTATTAGTTAAGGGTCCAAAACTGTGATGTTGACATTTGTTTTTGTTGTTTGCTTTGGTTTACTTTCATTTTCTTAGAGCAGCAGAACCCTTTCTCTTGCCATTGTGTAACATGCAGGAGGGGCACGGGATGCCTGGAATTCCCCTTGTGGCCTCTTCAATCTAAGTAAACCCATGGGACTCCAGGGAGCACAGGGGAAAACCACTGTGTGGAGGAGATCTCACTTAGTGAACTCATTAGGTCTATATTTGAGGAGTAGACATCGACTACATAATTAAAAAAAAAAAAAACTGTCCAAAGAGGTCTTAGAAAATATGTTCTTGGCCTATTTAATTGTTCGGCTCTTGTGTATTGAAGTTTCTCTTCCCAAGGGAATAGATGTCCCATTTTATGTTTCTACTTCATGTAGCTCAATTTGCAGGTCTTTCTTTGCAGGATAAGCTGATATTTTATAGCATTTTGACCATTTCTTTATTTTTACATTTTTTACCTTTTTGAGATGAAATTTTATCTTTTTGCCCAGGCTGGAGTGCAGTGGTGCGATCTCCGCTCACTGCAACCTCCATCTTCCAGGTTCAAGCAATTCTTCTGCCTCGGCCTCCTGAGTAGCTGGGATTACAGGCACCCACTACCACACCTGGCTAATTTTGTGTTTTTAGTAGAGATGGGGTTTCGACATGTTGCACAAGCTGGTCTCGAACTCCTGACCTGAGGTGATCCACCTGCCCCAGCCTCCCAAAATGGGATTATAGGCATGAGCCACAGTGCCAGGCTGAAAGTTTCTTTAGAATCTAGCAGGTCTTATCCTGGTTTGCAACATCATATACCTGTAGTTAAGCTAAGTAGACTACCAAACATTTAAAAATAGAAATTTAATTTTTATTTATTTAAAAGAAGTAAGTCAGTCGGGCGTGGTGGCTCATGCCTGTAATTCCAGCATTTTGGGAGGCTGAGGCAAGTGGATCACGAGGTCAGGAGATCGAGACCACCCTGGCTAACACGGTGAAACCTGGTCTCTACTAAAAATACAAAAAAATTAGTTGGGCGTGGTGGCAGGTGCCTGTAGTCGCAGCTACTCAGGAGGCTGAGGCAGGAGAATGGCGTGAACCCGGGAGGCGGAGCTTGCAGTGAGCCGATATCGCGCCATTGCACCCCAGCCTGGGCGACTGAGCGAGACTCCATCTCAAAAAAAAAAAAAAAAAAAAAAAAAAGAAAGAAAAGAAAAGAAAAAAGAAAAAGAAATAAGTGATAATCTTAGGAGAGAAGGGTGTTCTAAATAAAATAGTTGTAGCTCCATTAATTTGGGAATCTAGCCCGTTTCTTTATTGACCCTGTCTAATCTCTGATTCTTTAGACAGTAATGGGAAGCCATTCTTATTTGTTTACTTTTTTAGTATGGTGTAGGAAATTGATTTGAAAACTTCTTCCTGCCTCCTGTTATTGGGGTGGGAATACAGAAGCCTCTTTGGTCTGCAAGGCCACCAAATCCTGTAGCTCTCCTCCTCCTTACCACTATTGCACACACCCTGCACAGACCCTGAGGCCTATCCCTTTAAGGACTCTGTCTGAGCCACCTTCCCTCTAAGGAAAGAAGCCTAGATACATGGCAGCCGTCATGTCTGAGTCACTTGTGTTTTATACTCACCTAATATTTTTAAAACTGATATTCCTGTTAACAGCAACTTTAATTTCAATCCAACAGGATTTGTTTTCTTCACAAAGTGCGAGTAAGTTAAAAGGTGCGTCTCAGCTCCCTAGCAAGCTCCCCACATCGGTTTCCCTGTTCAATGATGAAGACAAAGAGGTAAACATTGTTATTGCAACACTAGATAATTTAGATTAGGAGAAAACGGTTATTGATGTAACTTTCTACCCAGAGGCTCATATACTAGCAAAAGGTGGTAGGGAAGTGGTCAGGTCAGGCTGCCTGAAGTCTATATAATAAAAATATTTCCGCTTTTTTTTCAGTGACTTCTTCCTTATATGTTCCTAGCTGTGCAATGGAGAAGACATTAGATTCTTGACGCAGTTCTTTTTGTTGTTGTTTTTGAGATGGAGTCTTTCTCTGTCACCCAGGCTGGGGTGCAGTGCTGTGATCTCAGCTCACTGCAACCAGGTTCAAGTGAGTCTCCTACCTCAGCCTCCCGAGTAGCTATGACTACAGGCGCGCACCACCACACCCGGCTAATTTTTGTATTGTTAGTAGAAACAGGGTTTCACCATGTTGGCCAGGCTAGTCTCGAACTCCTGATCTCAGGTGATCCACCTGCCTTGGCCTCCCTAAGTGCTAGGATTACAGGTATGAGCCACCGTGCCCGGCCTCTTGACATAGTTCTTATGGAGTGAAATCTATAGGTTTTATTTTTAAAATCCACCTTTGAGAAATACAGTTGACCCTTTAACAGTGTGGAGGTTGTTTTGACTTCCATATTGCAGTGAAAAATCCATATATAACTTCTTACTTCCCAAAAACTTATCTACTAATAGCTTACTGTTAACCAGAAGCCTCATGGATAACATAAACAGTTGATTAACATAAAAATAGTATAGTATCTATTTATATATTTTTGTATTCCTGACATATCTAGCATTTCCTTAGTTATTTTAAATATTTCTAGGCTACATGGTTTGTTTGCAAGATTTTTCAAATTGTTGCAAATGTCCAAAAAATTTTTCAACATATTACTGATAAAACATTTGTGTAGAAGTGGACGTGTGCAGCTCAAACCTGTGTCATTCAGGGTCAGCTGTACTTTAGTCTAGAGGATGGATCAATGTTATACCCAGTGACCTACAAGAATGTCTTGGATCAAGTGGAGATACAAAGGAGAAGGCAGCCATGTCCTGACCATGGCCTTTCTTTCCCATCCTGGTTGGAGAGAGCACATTGGGGAAGAGAAATAAGAGAGAACACAACCCAAACCTTAACTCTGATGCAGTACTGGGCAGTGATGAGCTCATAGGCTTTGCCATCAGACCCCTAGGTTCATATCCCAGCTCCACTACTGGCAAACCAGGGACCTGGAGCAAGTAACTTAACCTTCCTTAAGCTCACGTGGTTTAACAGTGAGTAGGGTCATTGTGGCAGCTGTAACTACTAGTGTGACACTTTTGCAGAGTGCCGGCACATAGTAAGTGCATAGTGAATGTGAGCTTTGTCATTAGTATCCCCAGTGGACACCAGCTCATTATTCTCCTGGCCTGTCCTATATTACCGCACTCTCCTTAAAGGAGACTTCATCCAGGAAGACACTCCCTTCATCCATCTTCACATTCCAGGGCTGTTCACCTGCTGTTAAGAGTTTGTCCATCCGAACTCAGACTCAGGCCCTCTGATGCTTTTGTTCCCCTTACCTGAATTAAAGCACCTTAATAAATACAACTTTTGGGGAGTGCTTGACCACAGAAGAGTTTATAAATGCCATTAAACCTAGTACACCAGCAATTTTATTTAGTAAACTATTTCTTCACTTAGTATAATCTCTTTGAAACTAATGAGAAACACAAGGCATGCCTTCCCTCCATCCCAGGAGTATGTCTTTCTTACTTGTAAAGGAGTGGAGACAGACCCCTAGTTCTCTCCTTTGAGCCATTGTTCTGGTTTCTTGTTTGTGGAGAGGACAGTGTGAGTTTCTGGCTGCTACAGGGGCTCCCATGCCCGTTGCAGGTTGTAACCCCCTGAAATGAGCAGAGAGGCACTTGCCCACAGGGCGACTGGATGGGGCTCAGTTTCTCCTCGTACTCCGTGATCTCATTCACATGTTGTCCTCTTGCTTCTTCCCAGCTGTTCTGCCTTCGAGTTCTATGGTAATCTCTTTCCTTTCTATGGGTGCAGTGGGAAAAGGCTGTAGTTTGGGATTTACTAGCATTTTGTGGGTTTTCCCCGCCAGAGGTGTTATTTGTATACCTGACTGGAGACTTACTTCCTAACAGTTTGATGTAGGAAGACATCCTGCGTTTTCTGTTTATAAAGTTGTCTCACCTTTCTGCCATTTGCTTTTCTAGGATAATCTTTTTGGGGGTACAGCTGCTAAGAAGCAGACATTGTCTCTACAAGCTCAGAGACAAGAGAAAGCAAAACCCTCCGAGCTCTCCAAAAAGAAAGCATCTGCCCTGTTGTTCAGCAGCGATGAGGAGGTGAGCCGAGGTTTCTCCTAAGAAGAGGGGAGTATTTAACGGGATTTAAGAGTTAAAGCCATCCCAAGTATTTTCTTTTTCTACCTGTTTTATATCTAGTGACATTCAGTCACCAAAGGCGATGTTCACAAGATTGTCTTTTCTGAAGGAAGACATTTAATGTAATATATAATTTAAAGATGAAATCTCTTCAGAATGGTTCGGAATAAGTATGAGTCCCGCACGATAGTACATGCTCCTTCTAATGAGTTAGGCCGGCTACAGGAGAAATGATTTCTCATCCATCGCTAGGTTCATGGTCGAGTCCCCTATAACAAATGACAGATTAACCAGAGAAAAGTGTGCAAGTTTATTGAAGATAAGTGTTACCTGACACAGGAGCCTTCAGAAAGGAAGACTCAGAGAAACAGGAAATCCTGTGTCGATTGTATGCTGTCTGATGAAGAAGCAGACAGTTTTGGAGAAGCACCATGAGATGAAAGGGGTGTGACCTGATGGGAATAAGCTGGGGGAGCTCAGCAAGACCTGTGTGGTCAGATGATTCTCTGCATCTTTACAAATAAGGAGGCTCCTTTCCTCTGGGAATAGGGAGGACTGGAATGAAGGTCTTATGACCTACTCCAGAGAAGATTAGAAGGGTTCTTCTATGGCGGCAGGAGGAAACCCTGGGAAGAGTCAGAGAAGACCTTTCTGGGCATGAATACCAAGGTGTCATATTTTGAGAGTAACATGTCACCATATCTCAATAGCCGTAGGTAACAGTAGTATCTTCTTAAATGACTACTGTGTTTCACATTAATTTAGAACTATAGCTAAACATGGTAGGGGTGCCTATTGAGGGTTAAACTCCTTTGAAGAAGTCTTACCAGTAATTCTGTTTGTGATCTGGATAAGATATTGCAAGACAATAGTAAATGGTTTAAAGTTACTAACTCAATCAGATGGTAGGGAATCGGGTTGTGTGCAGAAAAGACTTTAAAGATGATGATATTAAAAATCCGCGATGGAACATCATCACCATTGGGTGTGAATAATTCCTCTTTATTTTGAACATTGTAGGCAAGTTAGGAGAGGTGAATTGGATGGCATATAAGTTGTAAATATGTTCATGTTCTTATTGAAAAAGCAATTTTAAAATTCTGCAAAGCAGTGCAAAAAAATCGATATTTAAAAGCTTATGCAGCCAGGGCGTAGTGGCTCATGCCTATGATCTCCGCACTTTGAGAGTCAAGGCGGACAAGATCCCTGAGATCAGGAGTTCGAGACCAGCCTGAACAACATGGAAAAACCCGTCTCTATTCAGACTCACAAAAAAATTAGTGAGGTATGGTGGCGCATCTGCCTGTAATCCCAACTGCTGGGAGGCTGAGGCAGGATCACTTGGGACTCAGGAGGATGGAGGTTGTCAGCTAGATCTCGCCATTGCATAACTGAACTACTCAACAAAACTGTCTAGAAAAAAAAACCATTATAACACACGTGGAACAAGACACAAGGAAAAATTGCTAGTAATCCTTTTTACCACAAAGAATCTGAAGTTGGCCTTTAGAAAGCATTTAAGAAATCCCACCCAGCTATGCTCACCTCCATATCAAGGGAACTCCCAAACATGTATAATTTGTGTTTCTACTCAAATGTATGAATTTATGATGGAATTTATCCAGTTTTCTTTTAAACAGTGTCAGATAGTTGTTCCTCTGTAGGTGTTTCAGCCGGACATCAGCGTCAATTGCCTCTGCTAAATATTAAAGTAGTTCAGGAAAATAGAGGCATTAAGCTCAAGAAGACAGGTAAAAGACTAACAGGAAAATCAACCAAAGTTCATAAGGCAGGCGTCAGTCTTTGCAGCTACTGATACACTGGAAGAAGAACTGACTTGAGTCACTGAAAATACACTAACAAGCTGATGAACTAAAAAAATTTAAAGGATTCATGCATAAATCCGTAATATTTTAAGAAAGTTCTGGGTTAGCGAGTGAGCGCGTCTCAAGAGATGATACTGAGGTATTAGTGGCATGGCCCTTAGATATCGATTGGAATAAGTTTCTCCTTCAGGTGAAAGACTCTCAACTTGGCTGCTCACTGGGATCCATGGGACTTAAAGAATGCTGACTTGACAGGACAGGTTTGTGGCTCACGCCTGTAATCCCAGCACTCTGGGGAGAGGCGAGTGGCCGAATCACCTGAGAGTTAGGAGTTTGCAGAGCTCAGCCTGGCCAATGTAGCAAAAACTCTGTCTCTATAAAAAAATACAAAAATTATCCCGGGCATTTGGCGATACATGCTGTAGTCCTGTAACTCAGAAGGCGCTGAGGCAGGAGAATCACTTGAACCCGGGAGGCAGAGAGATTTTTGGTGACCAGGGATCCACACCACTGCCGCCAGCCTGGGCCACAGGCGAGACTCCATCTCCAAAAGAAAAGAAACAAAAACAAAAAACCTAGGAGTGCGGCAGGCGGATCCCAGCTCAGAGATTCTGATTCATCAGTCTGAGGTACAGCCTCATCGTGAGTTTTGTGATGTTCTCCAGTGGATGCCAGTGTTTAGTCACTAAACATTGTGAAGAACAATTCTCAAGCTGTAATGTTTAAGAAATCACCTGGGCACCGCAAGTGAGATGGAGTTCTGATTCAGAAAGTAAGGGTAGAGGCCTGAAATTCTGCATAACAATCTGCATAACACACATTTTGTGGCACATCATGGTTTTGCAGACTGTAGGCTCAGGAGGAATCAGGACATATGCAGGGTTCTTGGGAGTTCTTTGATTTGAGAAGTGAAGGCATAGCCTGGTAGATTTGTAAGTAACTTTCGCACAGAGGCCCTGTTCAGTCTTGTGGTAAAGTTACTGGCAGTTTTTCAAACTGTGTCTTCTTCACATGTATGTTGCATAATTTTGACTTTTTTTTTGTAATCTGCTTAGGATTTTAAAATTCATCATATTCTCCTCTATGGAGGTTAGAGTTCTTGAGTTCTTGTTATTTTATATTATTCCTTCTTATGGCCTCTGTAATTAATGTTGATCCCTAGAAATAGACAAGTCATTTGTGGTTAACCTAGTCTCAGATAGTGAGATGGGGAGGGACGTGTGGCAGGTGTTGGAAGGAAGGAAATCATGAGAAACTCTGTGAGGTCAGAGAACCCAGCTGTCTGGGATTGGAGTTCAAGATGAAAAGTCTTGGAGTATGAACTTTCTTCAAGACTGAAATTCGCTTTGGAGTTTATTCTTAGTTTTTAAATACAACTTGGTTTAACAAATATAAGTTTTATTTTACTTCCCATATTCTCAAGTCTAAATTGCCAATGGACTTTTGTTTTGAGTTGGGATCTTGCGTGCGTTGCTCAGGCGCTGGGAGTGCAGTGGCACGATCTCGGCTCACTGCAAGGCGCTCCGTCTCCCGGAGTTCGCACGCCATTCTGCCTCAGGACTCCCGAGTAGCTGGGACTACAGGCGCCCGCCACCACGCCTGGGCTAATTTTGTGTATTTTTTTTGCTTAAGCGGGGGTTTCACCATATTAGCCAGGATGGTCTCGATCTCTGGCCTCGTGATCTGCCACCTCTCGGCCTCCCAAGTACTGGGATTACAAGCATGAGCCACCACACCGCGCCTGGAGTTTACAATATATATTTATGTTTTGAGACCAGTCAGAATATTCCTTAGCCACCAGACCCACTCCAGCATCTGAGGTGACAAGGTCCTAAAGAAGAACCCAGGGATTCAGCAGGACCCTCCAGGGCCAGGAGGCCAAGGCTGTGAAAAGACAAGTCTCTTTGGGAGAGGCCGAAGAAGATCGTCTTATTTTATTACATAAAGACCAGAAGTGAATCAGTCAGTGGGTTAAAAGAATCCACTCACTCTGTGTCTGTAGTAACAAGAAGAGAATTTGATCAGCACAAACCCAGTTCCTTGGGTAATTGCTAATCACAAGATCACATAGTCATTGCACCAGTAAAGAATCATCTTGCCTTTTGCAACATCTTGCCTCCCTCAGGACAGGAAATATTTAATATGCATGGATCAATATCAGTTTCTTTTATCATGTTTTCTTAACGTTAAAGTGTTCTTTTCAGGCTTGTTTGTCAGGGATTTGAGTATAGTTTAATTATCTTTCGTTGTGATTTTTCTCAGAGCTGCTCTAAGTCTGTCAGGGTGCAGTCAGGGTTACTCCAGTTGTTGTGCAGGCATTGCGGTGGCTCACGCCTGTAATCCCAGCACTTGCACAGAGAGGCAGGCAGTGCGGGTTCAGAATGAGTTCAAGGCCAACCTGGCCAATATGGTAAACATGGTCTTTACTGAAAAAAATATAAAAATTAACGAGGCTTGGTAGCAGGCGTCAATGTTAGTCCTGCTCAGAGCTGAGCAAGGTTAGCGAACTTCGGGACGGAGGTTACAGTAAGGCCAAGTTGCTGCTACACTCCACCATTAGAGCAACAAACAGAGACTCATCCTCAAAAGTTTGCCCATTGAATAGAAATCTGCTCAGCATTTAACACACCCTGTTGGAAAGTTCCCTGCGAAGCTTTGCAGTATCCCATCAGGGGCTGATAATCCATAGCTGGCCACCTAAGGTGCCTCTCCGTTAATGCTGGAACTGAAGCTGGCAGAGTTATTCAGAGTGAGTGTGGACTGTGAGTAACATGCTGCCAGATAGTTTACAGTAATTACTTCCTGCAAATACTTTTTTCCTTTTGAGAGCCTTACATGATTACTTTGAGGATCAACTGAAGGAGTTATTAGCAGAAAAGTAACTGATTGAACATGTAAATCCTATGCTTTGGTGAGCAGTTGTCATTTGATAGATTCAAGTTCCTCGATTTCTGTCTCCAAATACTGGGATCTTGTCAAACATTACAGGACTCTGCATTAGGCCTCTGTAACTTGACACTCAACAGAAATTTTACATCAGAGAAGGCCACGATTAGAATATGAGCTCTGAAACTTGATATTAAATTCTGATTCTGCTGGTTCTATACAGTAATAAAGTACCAGGACAAATTACTTAACTTCTGTTCCTCAATTCCCTCATTTGTTAAGCAAAATTAAATAATGCTTTCTCATAGTTTGTTTGAGGATGATGAGATGGAATCTAAATGTGAAATGGTTAGCACAATGAGCTGGCACATTCTGAGCATTCAGGTGTTACCAGTTAAACGCACCATGAGTGCAGAAGCAATGCATTCATCTATTTTGTTGCCCTCTCTTACCAGGACCTTCTTCTTCCTAGTATCATTGCCTTGGCCACCTTCTCCAAACCTTAGTATGAGATCTTGTTTCTGTGAGAAGTCTTCCCAGCCCGGGCACAGTGGCTCAGCCTGTAATCCAGCCTTGAGGCTGAGGCGGGCAGAATCACAAGGTCAGGAGTTGAAGGAGCCGCCCACTGACCAACATGGTGAAATCCATCTCTACTAAGGGATCAAAAATGAGCAGGGTGTGGTTGGCACACTCCTGTAATCCCAACTTCGCCAGGAGACTGAGGCCAGGAGAATCGCAAGACCTGGAGGCCAGAGTTTGCAGTAGGCTGGATCTATGCACTACCTCCAGCCTGGGCAACGGAGAACTCCCATCTCCAAAAAAAAAAAAAAAAAAAAAGATACCCACCTTACTAACTTTAAACAGGA